TGTGGCAAATCTGGCATTTGTCATGACCAAGGGCAGCCTGGGAGACACCATCATCAACTTAACGATGTAAACAAAGTAATAATTCAAATAAGCTCTCCTACTTGTTTCCTCCCAGTCTTCCCTGCATTCCTTCTCCACAACTTTACAGCACACGTCTTTACTTTGGTTTATAAAGAGAAGAAATAGAGCTGGATGATAATCTAAAGTAAAATTTGAGCATAATCACTGTATACAGCAGTAAAGAAAAACAAAATATATAATAAATATATAATACAATGTAAGATTTCATAAAGCAGTGAAGTGGTCACTGGTGGAATCTTTGATCAAATTTTCTGTTTCCATTCTATTACAATCTAATTCTCTCTCTTTTATAAATAGAAGTTAAGAATCTGTTTATCCGGGTCCAACTAGGAATGAGACGGATAATCTGAAAGATTAGTTCAGATCATACCAAACTGAAAGACTGCTGGATTAAGTGGTCAGGGCTGGTAGTTGGTGAGGGGGGATTTGTGGAGCTGTTTTTGGTTTGTTTTTTTAGCTGTTTCTGTGCTGTATTCTTGGTGCATTTAGAAACAATAGGCGTTGCAGTAAGGGAAGCTTTGATGTATTGCTTTTCTTGGGGAAACCTGATTACTTAATTCTCTCTGAATGAGTGAGTGATTATGCCTTTGAAATTGAGGAATTACATTGTGCGTTTCCTGTAGGTACGCTACTTGATCTGCTTAAGCACGCATATTTAAAGGTTAGTTCAAATGTGTTCTCTATAGAAAAGTTTAAATCTAAAACAGCATCTTTCTTTGTTTTGTCTCCAACTGGAGGCTACTTTTCAGAAAAGATTTTACTACCTAATCATTTCGAGGAAATTTTGTCTGTTGTTACTGTTTACATTGTTGCAGTCGTATATGGTTATATGGCATAGAGAACAATTCAGCAGTGGAAATGAATATTTAAATTACACTGCATGAGAAGAAAATTTTGAAAAAAATAAAAGTAAAGTAATGGGCACCTGTGATTTATAAACGGCACCCACAGCAGCATTTCAGTAACTAAAAACAGTGATGTCTTTGACAGAGCACCAGTTTGATATTGTGTAGTTACTTGATATTGAATGAAAAGTAGAAAGAGAGGAGAAAATTACAGACTGTTTTAGGCATTCTCGGTCTGAATGGATCATAAGACTGTTGTTTGAAAACAGCAAGTCATACAATTAAGTCCTTTGTTTCTTTCCATCATCTGAAACCACTCGTGTAATTCAGTAAGTTCTGGTTTCCCGGCACCCACATCTCCACTGATCTCACCTGAACCCCCAACACCAACGCCCTGGTAAAGCAGGCCCAACAGCGGCTGCACTTCCTCTGTGTCCTGGGGAAGAATATCCTGGACCTCTGATCGGGCCTCCGGTCAATCAGGTCCAACACCTCCAGGATCATAAACAGGTTCTTCCCCTGGGGCATTCACACTGTTAACAAACACTATCAACCCACACCCCTGCCCACCCCACCCCACCTATCTGAGCCATTGTCTGAGTTACCCCAATCACTCAGGCCACTCAGTCTTTCCCACTCAAGTCTTTGCACTGCTTCCAAGCAGTTTTCAGCTATTCTATAATGTGTGCCTTTCCCTTATTTTTGTATATATTTCTCCTGTTTTCCATTTATTCCTGCCGTCTACTATTTGTATTTTATTCTGACACAGTTGGTGAGGAGCACCTACAATTTAATTGTACATCTACAATGACAATAAAGGGCTATTATATTCTATGGCGCAAAAAACTGCTTGTTTGGGGCAATCTCATTAAAATGTGAGGGACAAGAAGACATTTAATTATCTAATATTGGCTAGCTGCGTGGAAACAGGGCAGTATTACCTTTGTTGAAAAAATATCTTAAGCATGAATCAGATCAAAACTTAATTTCAGGGCAAGTAAACATACCTTCATTTTAAAAGGCAGATCATTCGACCAGTGATGTGGTCACTGCACTGTGGAGCAGACTTAGGAAAAGTGTGTTTGCAGTCCTGTATGCTTCTAGCAGATGTCAGCAACCTGAGTGGCTGTTTGAATGAACAACTATCCAGGATTTTGATCAACCTGTTCCGCAAACAAAAGCTAATTATGTAGTATATTTGTCACTTAAATGTGTTCTATTTTAAATTTAGGCTTATTTGACCATAGAATGAGAAACTTCACGTAATGATAGAGATGAAGCCCAAGGATTAATTATACTTTTTGCATCTGCGACTCTGCCAGGTCCAAGTAAATATATGTAAATTCGTCATCACAGTCAGTATGGACATTTGTGTGTCTGACAATTTTTTGTGACTGTGCAAACTTGTTTGTGGAGACTTTACATTATAAACCATGCACGCACCCCAGGTGATGGACATCAAAGAAGTAGAACAGGAAGGACTACTCGGCCATCACGCCTCCAGCTGTCCATGTCTGTAACAGACTATAATAAAAGCTTTAATCTTCCCACAGGGGTTGAGCGATTTACTCCATAGCTCATGATCATATTGGCGCCCTGTGGCATTGATGATAATGCACAATATCTGGCCGAAACACAAAAAAACAAAAACAAATATAGCACACAATAGCATGTGGGTGAGAGAGCAACACAGGTGGACAGATCAGCTGAACAATTAAAATACTTTTAAGTCATTACATTTACACAGCTCTGCACATAGCTTGGCTACTTCTGTTTTTATCTGTGTTCAAACTGGCTCACCTGTGTCTATTCTGCTCCCCACCATGCCCTCTCCATACATACAGAGTTCTTCACAGATCAGTTTGGGGGGAAAAAGGATGGAGATGGGATAAACATGTGTGTTTCTAAGTGGACAGTCATTGTGCTTTAGTTTAAAAATCATTCTCAGACAGCTTGTGACATGAAGCCATGAGGAGGCAGATTCAACTTATCATCAACCTCATAATAAAGATAATATTGATTTAATGCAGTGGAAAATAGGGAAATAAGGTGAGCATCACTGTTCACTTTTGATCTGACTTTGTCATCACACTACATTTCAAAACACATTTGAAGAAAATTCACATGAAATTTTGCCAAATGTCCTGCTGCTGACAAATAGACAAGTGATTATCACCTGTTGGGTAAAAAGCAAGTTATCTTTAAGTGGGCGGCCCTTGTATCCCAAATGCTGCACGTTGACCTGCAAATTTTTTTTTCTTCAATAAAATACAAATACAGCACGAGTAGCCCATCAGCCCATCTGCATTAGTCTCAGTCAGATGTAGCAAAGTCCCATTTTCTGCAGACAGTATGTGGGCTGTGTGAAAGCATATTGCCTGCTGTGCTGACCTGAAGATTGGGCTATAAGTTGGTTATATTACTTCCCCCTGCTGCTTTCTTGGCTGCCAAATGTCAGTCTGCCACAGTTTTATCCAGGAATAGTAGATTACTTCATAGGCTTTGGTCTTTTAAGTAGAAACAGAGACTCTTTAAACCATAAAGCATCCCAGGGAGCCTAAAGTCTCACCCAAAGTCACAAAAACAACAGTAATAAAACGTCATCAACAAGAAGTCCTGTAACATATGTTTCATGTCTAAGATGGTCTCTAAGATGGCTTATCCATGCTGCTGTGGTCTAATCTTGTCCCATTATACTAAGAAGCTTGTTTGAACAATCTTCTAATGCGCTCAGATGCATTCATGCAGTCGTTTGGTATCAGACCAAAGGTTATTACCTTAGCCTTCACTTTGATAGGCTTTTCTAAATTAAACAAGTAAGCAGAGTTTTAATAAGATGTTTTGTGGAAAAACCTGAAAAGTCAAAAAAAAATATTTTTTTCTTCTTTTTTAAGTCTGACTCAATTACACTTAAGTATCCATTCTAATTTTCAAAAAGTAAAATGTTTTGACCTTACATCTTTAAAGTCTGAGGGTAAAATCCTTGGTTATAATAGTTAAGGATATTCAAATACCAAAAATTCATTAGCTGTGTTTCTTTCTTCTGACAAGTATCTGAAATAATCAATTTGATTATTCATTATTTCTCCAATATGTGTATTTTTAGAGATAACCTCACCTAGAATAATGGTTTTCATTTTGATTGGAGAAATATGCTTAATAGCTTCACTAATTATACAGTGACCTGTTTTGGATGCCATCGTTAGCTGATAGAAACTAATTAGGCAGAAAGAAAGATTAGTTTGAACAAGCTTGTTAGTGTGCAGTCAGTTGTGAAAGACAAACCTGGGGATGAGAGCCCAACATATGGCTAGAACAAAACTGTGAGGGGATATGTTGTTGTGTGTAGCTGTTTTGCTGCATGGGTGTAGGTGGGCCAATTTGAGCTTGTTGCTTGTTGTTCGTGTAAGCTTGTGATTTTACACGTGTTTGTTTGAATATTTCTTTCACATTTTACAGGTTTGCCACGTTGTGCTTATGGAAGGTCTACAAGTAATTAATGCAAAAGTAATCAATTAAATGCCCTTTATAGTGACACTCTGGATGTGTGTGTGAGTGAGAGAGAGCGAGAGACTGAGTATCACATATGGCAAAGGAAGTAATGCAACTCCTAATGTCTGCAGATTAAGACTTGTGTCATTATACCCTGAATCTGAACTTTGTAATGTCGTAGCACTGCCTAGTGGTGAGGCAGAATGTCTGTTATTTAACAGATGAGAGGTGAGGACCTGTGAACCTTTTAAAAGCCTTTTATGGCCTGTCATAATTTCCTTGCCATTATTGTCAGTGAATAAATTGACTAACTGAATCTGGTAAATGCCAGAGCTTGCAAGCTTGATTTAAAAAAAAAAATACTTGGTTGAAATCAGCAGCATTGAGTTGACCTGCAAACTGTAGTTTAGAAGCCAACAAAATCTTCCAGGGAGTGTATTTTACCCCCTTTTTAAGTCAAATAGATGGAACTGTAGTACTATGGAATTAGTACCCATACACTCTTTCCTTGCTTGAGGCTGCTGTTCCTCCAGCTCACTCTAAGAACAAGCTATTGTTTCTGTCCATCTCTGTTTCATTCAGATCCAGTTCACGGTCCTCAAAATGTCAATGTGGTGGATGTCAGAGCCCGCCAGCTGACAGTACAATGGGAGACTTTTGGGTATGCTGTGACACGCTGCCACAGCTACAATCTGACGGTAAGCACAACCATTATTTATTCTCCACCTTTAGGGTATTATGTGGAATTAATAAGGACCGGGAGCAGAGTTTATGGAAAAAAAATCAACTGCCAGTTAACTTTATTATTTTTCATATCTTTCTGTTTTTTATGATAGTTTGATGATAGATGGGAAATGTGGGAACGAGAGCAGGGGAATGCATGTTGTAACTGGCCGAAAGCTGACCTGAGGACTTGTCACAGTTTTTGTCCATGCTTTGGATAGAACATTCTTTCAAGAGATATGACCTTATCGAATGTTTTGATGATTGCGGTGGAAAGTGGTGTCAAACACAGGACGTCCCAGAGGCGATTCGCACATTACTCACGGAATCACTCAGTAGCTCCTTTTCCCCTATGGATAGCCGTCCTGATAGAGACCACATAGAAATAAATGTTTTACCATTGAAACATTTACATTGACATTGATTTACATTGACCCTTCCCCTAGTAGACTCAAACTGTGAGTCTCCAGATCCTCTTATTGTATGCTACAAAGATCAGACCCCTGAGTCTAAGGAGCTTGGGAAGAAAAGCGTCTGGACTTCTTGAAGTTGCTTGAAGATGTTTCACCTCTCATCTGAGAAGCTTCCTCAGTTCTAGGGTCAAATGGTGGAGAGTCCCAGATTTAAGCCCTGTGAAGGTACCTCCTAATGGAGCCCCTAATGATCCTCTACCTAATCACATGAGCCAAGGTGTGAAAACGGGTGTAGGTCACAATCAGCCAAGGTTTCGGGTGAGCTTAACATTTGCTAATGTGAACACGATGACTACGATGACCTGGATGACCTGGATGACCTGGATGACTGAGAACCTTCACAGACATCAGACTCCTGACTTTTTTTTACTATATTGTTATCATTTTATTAATATTTCCCAAGCATATTACATGAGGGCAGCTCTGGATTTGTCACTATTATTGTTAACCAAAAAGCAAAATCTCCCATGTTTCTTCTTGTGCTTTCCAGGTGCAGTACCAGTACGTGTTCAACCAGCAGGAGTTTGTAGCTGAAGAATTAATCCAAACATCATCACATTACACTTTGAGGGGACTGAGGCCATTTGTGACCGTTAGGCTGCGGCTTGTCCTGGCCAACCCTGAGGGCAGCAAGGAGAGTGAAGAGATAGTCAAACAGACGGAGGAGGATGGTGAGTGAAAGCCCCGATTGGAAAAATGTATAAGCATGTTTATTAGCATACTTTATAATGTAATATTGAGCCAACATATTACCAGACAGCAGGGCTGGACGGGGACAAGAAATGGGCACTGGCATTTAACCAGGTTGGTACAGTTGTTGTTGGGTTATTTCTTAGTTGCACTGCAGCATGTGACATTAATTAAAAGCAGCATGAATAAAAGTTAGAAATTAGCAACGGCTCATGGTCATAGCCATTCATTTTACCTGAATGGTGCTAGCAGCAGCAACCTCCTGTGTCTGTGAGGCCTGCTTACTACTTGTTGTTGGTACTACTGTTCATGGTGCAATTTGACACATTTTGCTGCATTCATTGTAGTTTCTTTTTATTGTTTTCTCTCAGCTTTCCAGCTCCACCTTCTCGCCCCTTCTTCCTGACAAAATGTTTTCTACATGGTGCATGAGTGCACAGCAAATGTAGGGGAGTGGCCTGTCGCATTAAGAGATGGGACAATCCAGTGTCAGTAATGAAAATGAACGAATGGGCTGCTGTCAGTTCTTGTACAGCCAGTACGAAGCCTATTGGTCCAAAAGTGCGTTAGCCTGCCGGGAAAGTGTTCGGTGTGCTAGATTACCAGTCCAGGCCTGAAGTCAGCTATTCCTGGGACAAATCCTCTGACTTTGTCCTGGGAGAAATAAGCATGATTTTATTTCAAGGAAAATTTGAACCTTAAGTTAGATAAATGGTTGACAATAGGTCTGTTAATAGGACAGCCTATTAACAGGAAGAGACCAGGTGCATTCTGTAAAGACAAATAAAACATGATCCCAGATTGTTTGTTTCCCGGGTTATAAATCGCAAATGTAAAACAGTTGTTTCAAACAAAAGTTATTAATGTGGTTGCTTATAATAAGACTCACAAACGTCACACAGAATTTTTATATCAGCAATAATCAGAAAGTAAAGTAATCCATGAGACTGCATTAAGGAAACAGAACAACAATTACAAATAAAGTAAAAATACACTCACACAGGTTTGATCTTTGCCATGTTCAAATTACACAATAAACATGGATGTCTTAGCAGTAGACTTTTGAACAGGATTTTTTTTATAGTACATACTTTGGAGCCTAAAAGCATGCATTATTTGGTAGGAGTTATTTCTAAACAACCACATTTTAAACTTGTTCCTTCCTTTTCTTTCTAGAGGGCTCCATGTTCTACTAATTCAGAACATAGTGTATACCCTCGCCATAGCTAGTAATAATTCATTGATGCTTCACATTTCTCTCAACAACATGCCTGCGATAAAGTGGAATAGCATTAGAGCAGTGCCTGATAAGCAGGATAAAAACATTGTTCTAATGATCCCAAATCTCTTATCTCTTTCCTGCCCTCCTCAGGGCTCACTGTTCTTCTCCTGATCTCATAACTAATATTCTCTGAATTTAGCTTCTGGGGAACATCACATCTCAGTCTGAAATTCCTACCTTTGCTAGACGAGCACACGGATAATATAAGTTGCCTGAACCCTTAAAATAAAAAAAACTAACATGACTGGGGAGTACCAATGGCTTCGAGGGGGTAGGGGAAAAAGGCTTAATTGTTTTGTTCTTAATTGTTTTTTATTTAACCATCGTTAATCTCCTGGTTGTAATTCAGTAATTAGGGAACAGAACAGCAATTGTTCACATGGAGGCTAATTACTGTTTGTATGGTAATAGCTTTATAGAGCTGGGGCTCCTGTGAGTGAAGCTTTTGCTCTCTCACATGCACATGCATAAACATATATGGTTTTCCATTTTTTTATTGTGCTCATACTATAAAATGGAAATAAACTTGAGCCTGTGTTTGGGGATTTGCAATTAAGACATGAAATTACTTTTCGCTTACTCACAAGGACCATGCTCTCCTAGTTTGTGAAAGTAATCTCAGGATAAGAGCAATTTTAATAATGCCCTCTTTAATTGTTTTACCTTTCAGATTATAGCATATTAACATGCACATACACACAGTCTATCAAATCATATTAAGTCATGAATGTTTTAGCTTTAGCTCACTGTGAGGAGACCACCACTATTAGGCTGACACACCTATTAGTGTAGAAAAAGAAAAACAGTTTCTTACTGTCGTGCTGCTAAGAAGATAAAGGTTTTTCATGTTTACTCTCTTTGATTATATTTGGCTTGAATACTGATTTTCTCATAAACTGGCTGGACTACCATTTATAAGCACTTTGCAAAATGTGCCTTTCTAACCTAAAGTTGTCTACAAATTATAATAACAATTACAGAAGAAGCAACAACAAGACTGCTGAGGCAACTTGTGAAACTTTCTTTAAAAATAGCTAATATGACATTGCTACCTTTCAAAGAGAGTTACGATCCAGTATTGTATATGCTATTTGATAAGCATTGCTTATCAAAGCCATTGCTCCTTGATAAAAGGATCGGCAGAAAGAGGTTCTGTACAATGACCGGAGTAATGAAGTAATACTAATGTTTTCCATCATCTCACTTAACAAGAATGATGCCTATAACTACAGCCACTGTACACAAGATGTAAATCACTTCTTAAAATTCTCTATATAGATAAAACTATTAAAAGCTACATAAGACTAAAGCAGATAAAAATTAGGACCTTGCCTTTCACTGTCAAACAGAGGCAGGTTCCCACTACATCACATCATGCCAGGGCAGTAACTTAATCACTACTATGTTTGTGTTCCTCAAGCTCGGTTCCTAAAGTGCCTGTTGTTTTTGACCACCTCACATCGGGACTTCTAATCCATATTCAGTCCTGTTGGCTGTGGCCTCTATCAATCTGGTGTTTAGGGAGCGTTCACGTGTTTCCATGATCAGAGTTTCTGTGTCATTTTGCTTTTGCTTTTCTAGTTCCTGGTTAGTTTTCTTAATGTCCGTTACTTTCTTAGGTACTTGTAACTGTCCTGCATGTCCACTAACCTGCCCTCCGGAAACCTAATGACCTACAGATGAAGGACTCAACTGGCTGAGTTGTAGCTTGTCTTGTAGTCAATTCAGGTGGTCCTCAGATTGACTCCCTGGTCTTAAGAGAGGTATATTACTGTATCAACTAGTAGCTGGTACTTTGACCCTCTGGTGCTGTTTCCAGTTTCTTTCTTAGCTGTGCTTGCCTACTGGTTACTGTGATGCCCAGGAGAAAAAAAAACATGTTGTAAAGAGGGAAGAATTCTGTTGACCCTTGCCTTTCTGGTATATCTCTTTGGCCTGGTGGCCAGAGACGTGATCCTTTGTTTGGCACTCTCTATAGCATCACTTATGGAAATCTTGTTGTTCTTGTTAAGTGGATCTGTGAGTCTGCATGGGTCCCCCTTGGGTCCCAGTGACATAATGCTGTCATAATGCTCTTCGGCTCCTCTCTTAATGTTCTAATGTCTTTGCAGGATTCCTTGATTTCAGTGTCCAGATGTCTTCTATATGGGGAGCTGTTTGTGCACACATTCTTGATCTTTATACCCCGGTGTTTCTTGGATTACTGTGACAGTGGTAGTTATTACTCATTGATTTCTGTAATATTAGTAGAAGGGCTTGTGAGTAGAGCTCTGTTAATATCTCTAAGCATCTCTTATGGACTTTGTTTGTAAGTGTATTCGTGGGTGTGTGGCTGTCTTTAGTATAGCCATAATTTTCATCCTCAACTCAGTAATGCATAGGAGTCAAAGGCGATCATAGAAGGCATTTGGGCATCATATTATGGCGGCTCTGACATCCACCACATTTACAGTTTGAGGACTGTGAACTGGATCTGAATGAAAGAGAGATGGACAGAAACAATATGTTGTTTTTAGAGTGAGGAAGAGTGTATGGGTACTAATTCTATAGTACTACAGTTATAATGATAATAATAATGGATTGCATTTATATAGCGCTTTTCGGGACCCCTCAAAGCGCTTTACAATACCGCTATTCATTCACTCTCACATTCATACACTGGTGAAGGCAAGCTACAGTTGTAGCCACAGCTGCCCTGGGGCAGACTGACAGAGGCGAGGCTGCCATATCGCGCCATCGGCCCCTCTGGCCAACACCAGTAGGCAGTAGGTGAAGTGTCTTGCCCAAGGACACAACGACCGAGACTGTCTGAGCTGGGGCTTGAACCGGCAACCTTCCGATTACAAGAGGAACACCCAACTCTTGAGCCAGGATCACCCCTGACAGTTCCATCTATTCGGGTGTTGTGCCAATGACTACACGACAAACGGGTAATAAATATGGTAACCTTAAATCCCTTTGTTTATATGTGCACAAATATCCAAACCACTGTTAAAGAGAAAGATCTCCTCACACAGACTATAATGACAGCAATTGAGATGACATCATCCTGTTACCATCACAGTACGGTTCTTGTTTAAGATCAGAGTAGAAGGAAAAAAAGATAGCAGCTCTGTTTTTTGTTTGTTTTCTTCAGAGCTTCACTTTTCAGGAAGGCAGTTTATCAGAGCACGTTTAAAGTTGTAGAAGTGCATTTACATTAATGTGCTTTTAATCATTCTTATACTTTTATTTGATGTAAAAGTCAAATTTTCTAATCCTACAGGACAAAATCTTTACATGACAATAGAACGAGTATTTTGGCATAATCGTATTTACCATTATTGACAACTTTAGATCAGGTTAAAAAATTAACGAGACGCTACTGTGTATATAAAATGTTAACGGAATCATTTAACATTTAATATTCCATAGATTAGATGCATACAGTGGAGGAAATATTGATTTGATTCCCTGCTAAGTTTGTTTACCTCCAAAGGATTGAACTGATTTTAATTTTATGCTGGTTTGTTCTTAAAAGAAATGTATTAATTCAGTTCAGATTATCATGCATGAAATAAATCTCTGCATTTCATCCCTGGCTCTCATTTGTTTTGGCCTTTTTATTACATAACAGACCTGATTGTTTATATGGCAATAATGACTTTTAGTCATTGTTAGTGTCTGGGTTTGTAGCTGCTATTTTGAAGTAAGAGCAAA